GGGGGGGGGGGGGGGGGATGGGGGGTGGCGAAGAAAATGGAGCCTCACTCAATCCCTAGCGACTGAATACGACCCCGCTTGTCACTGTTTTTTCTACGACAGTGCATGACCCTGTTTACAAACATCTCATGGTGGTTTCTGTACAATAACTACGCCGTACTCACACCAGCCGTCTATCTTGCGCATTCATGGTAGGAACCCCGGGTGACAAAGATTCAAGGGAACGTGCAGTGTGCACGGGAAGGTGAGCAACCTGGGAGAGTGGGAGTTGATAGGATGAGATTCTTGCTGAGAATTATCTTGGGTAGGGTAATTCGAGTCCCATCAAGTCCCATTTCGGAACATCATCAAAAAAGCTGCATGGTCCACTTTTAGGAACTCGGGAACTTTAGGAACTGAGTGTCAAAGGTAGTTGAAAGGTTTTCAGTGCTGATGCTTTTCCTGTTACTGCTCTACAAAAGATGACTATCAGTCATTATCGACAGTCTGATTTTTTGGAAACCTTTTTAGTTGATCGGAGCTCTGTAGTTTTGGAGTTGACGTCATAACAAAATCCAGGAATTATGGGTATTCCGTGAACCCAGGAAATTAAAAAGGTTCGACATTCCTAATTGGTCCGACAGCCTAATCCATGGATGTCATTAATGAGATAATGCGTGCGATCCCTAATGGAATGGATTCAAAATGGGCTTTTTTCAAAAGTTAAATTAATGCTTTCCAAAAATGGGTAATCGGGAATTCATAGAATGACCGGAGTATTCTTTGAGGCGACTTAGCGAATGTCCTTGATGATCAGAGGGGCTCCGTCGAAAGTATGAAATGTGAAGAAGTGTGTGCTGTTCATACCAGTAATAGGGTGTGATGTTAATCAGTTGCAAGAAGCACACTTGGTACCACTTGCAATGGGAGAGGGAGAGTACGCTTAAAACTGTGCAATAAATGGTATCGCAGCAGAGACGTGGGAGATAGGATATGGCAAATTAATGTGTAGGATTCCTAGCTCCTCGATCACCTTTTGTTGAGTGCTTGTTTCGACTCTTCCCGAAGCTTTATCATCAATTTCTAAGGCCCGGTTCACAAAAGAAATGGTTCTTGAGATTTGTCCCTGCAATGAGCCTGTGACCCCCATGCATAGCGCAGTGAACGCTGTCGGGTCGAAAAACAGTCAAGCTAGGGCTTATTAAGGGCCTAAAACCAAATTAGCCAACGTACACATCCAAGGCGGACGAGTTTCCAAGGCGCTATAGAGGCACCAGTCTTAGAATTTGCACCATTCGCTCCGGGAAACACATGATACACGCAGGCAGCTACTGTAGCCACCTGTATGCAATGGCACATACATATTCAGGCAGCTCGTCGTCACATTCTCGTCCCATCCCTATTTTTACTTTTTTTGAACCCTGTAAAAACGGAAAAGCGACCACATGAACTCCAATACCACTTCGGTGGAAATACAAAATTGACTGACTTCACGTTTTTTGATGTTTTGTCATGACAAAGTACTCCAGTTCGGATGATCATCAAATTTTTTTTCATGATATTTGTTGATCATGAACAGTACATATGAATTTGTTTAAGTTTTTGTGGTGATTTTTACTAACGTTGATTCATCACATTGGAAAAAATCAAAAAAAAAAATCTGACTCGTTACCATCCACAGTGGCGAAAACCCTTTCTTATCCAAATGAATTTCTCCACAATTTGTAGAGGATTGAGGCAGTCAACCCTGTAGGTTCAAAATGGGCAAAGAAATACATTTCTTATCGGATGGGTAAGCATCGATCAACACCGTCCAGAACTGCCTCAAAAGAAGAAAAGCTTGCCATGGATTCAGCAGTCGCAAAAGTGGATGACTGGGAGACGGACAGTAGGAACGGTTTTGTGTAACCGATTCGCCGCACGCGGCTGTCGCGACTTGGTTTCGCCGTTATTACGGCTCTGGCGTTCTTCATACAGCTCGATCGCTATGCGATTATTACTTTTGGCATGATTCTATTGTTAGTTCTTTTGTTGCTGTGTTTCTTACTTGCTGCTGCATTCTGCTACATTCCTTCGCGCGCGGCGTCTCTTGCCGCGACGCGACGATTTCGTTCCTACTGCACCACACCCGTGGATGACTACACTCTTCAACACTTGTTTTTAAATATGCGCAATCTCTCAATTCTTATAATGACGATATAAAGAAAATAAGATAACAGTTTTCATAAATCTTGTAAGATGTCACCTAGATAGTAGCTGCGAAAGCTTCAACTTAGAAGGCGACCGACTTGCTTTTGAAATTTCACATCATTTCAGCGGCTACTTAGAAAAGTTATCGGCATCGAATTCATTGCTATTGGATTGATGCTGTATGCAGTAAACTATGGTGGATTCAAAGATAACGGTAGGGAAACACTTGGCGCAATTTGTATCATCCTCAACATAGCCAGCATTGGAGCACCGTTATTCCAAATCAGAGAGGTAAGTAGATACATAGAGTATTCCTGTTTATACGAAATTAGTGACTCATTGAGTACATAAATAATAATTTGGGAATTTCTCTCCGAAAATCGCGTCGCGGTCGCCGCATCCAAACCCGCGTAGTCGCGCTACGAGGGGAAAGATTTGAATCGTCTGTGGAAGGATACGGTAGTCGCAGCAGAACCACTGCAGCTCACCGTGGGAATTAAGAGATTGGTACCGCTCCCCTTATGATTCATGGTTCTTCTCGTCCAACCCCTGGTTCTACCTCTTGAATATTTCTAATTCACTAAATACCCCCAATTTTCGCGTTTCTTTGCGCCCTTTTTTTGCGCCACTTTCGCACTATTCTGGACCATCACTTCCATTACTCGTCTCAAGCTGAAATTATCGTGAACTATACCTTCAGAAATCAGATTTTCTTGAGCGCGCTGATCCTTTTTCAAAAGCTTTGAAATTATGCGTTTCCGGCTTGAATCTTGGTTGTATAGTTATCAAAGTAGTACCTGTGTATCAACTTAATACGGTGACTAGTGCCCAATACGTTGACCTTCGATATACTTGAGTGAGTCTGACGTTGATCTCATGCTCAAGGAGCTTTTGCTTGAAATTGAAAGGAAAAGCTATGATCATCGACTGTTTGACTGTATTTATATTATTTTCTATTTATATTATCTATAGTTTACATTTTATATTCATGAATTTTCGGTATCGGGTCAAATACCTAATCATACCTAATGATTGTTTAAGGTCATTCGAACGAAGAACTCCGAATCATTACCACTTCCTTTATGTCTGGCATGTTTTGCTGTCAGTTTACAATGGTTGCTATATGGATTACTTGTGCACGACATTGTTATACAAGTAAGTTATTTCATTTTGCGCTTCTTAAAGGCATTCAGTGGTCAGCCTCGACCCGAAACACTTTGTTGGAGGAGAAAAAAAAACCAAGATCGGATCGAGTTGTTAGCCTTGTAGTCTTGAGAATTGAAATTGGCGTAGATGAAGTAGTGGCGAGGGATACAAGGACGCATTAGGTATTGAGAAAGTCGGTCCAAATTAATGGTATGGGGATGAAATCAAATATGGATNATTAAAGCACCAGGTTAAAATCGCACTCAGTCGCTACCACGAGACGAAATAGATGTGCAATGTGCATGCGCATTCCAGAAAGGGTTCGCTCAACGCCGAAAAAACTTCCGTTTTATGAGAATGATTTGAATTGCGAAATTATCTCACTTGAAACTAACGTTAAGGTTCACACTCATGCACTTTTTGGGAGAGAATCTCAGATTCCAACGACGTTCATTCTTTCACCAAACGACCAACGGCGTTGTTGGCCACGTGTCGACATTGCGGGACAGTTTGCGTTCAGAGCCGCGTGAGCGGTGTCATCGGTCCAGTGTTGTCATACGTGGCCAGCAACGCCATCGGTCGGTCGGTGGAATAATGCACGTCCTTGAATTCCTTCCTCAAAGTTCTCAGCGCTGGTCTACGTCTTGTCTTACTTCTTGCTGTTTTGGGTCTTATTAGTTCGCCAAATAAGAATGTCGTTGCATGGATCACACGTTGTGGAATGATCGACAGCGTAGTGGTTGGTGTAGGTATGCTACCTAAGGCCAAGTGGAGTTGCTTGAAATCGCCATGGAGTACTGGACAAATGCAATGTTCCGGAGGAATGCATGGTAGATCGGGACCGGACGTTTCGCCCACAACTCATATTCCGTGATAAACTTTCAAAAATGTTATGGTTCTGTGGAATAGGAAACACCAAACGATGGTCGACTACTGCACCATGCTTCCTCTATAGGACGGTATTGAACACTGGTATTGACCAGTAGAGTAAACACTGTCGACTCTCTGTGGAGGAATTCTCAGCTTTTCCTGCGGCAGCGTTCCTTGAGGAATCATCGATTTGAGGATCGAAGGGGCAGGAAAAACTGATTTTTATTCACGTCCAATAAATCGGGATATCACCTGTCACCTACATCTGTAATCACGCTGGTCATCGATTTGCTGGAGTAAGCATCAGAGAGGTTTCCGTTCGTCTCAGTCGCAAGTCAGTGTAGTCCAGTGGACCCTCTTCGCTCAAAGCACAGGGGGCATTCAGAATTTCGTGAAAACTCTGATCAGCAGGCTGATGGTGGTCCATGTGTTCGTTTGAGGCCTCTAGGAAGCCTGCCCTGATCAAAAGGTCGTCACAAAATCTGACAACCATAAATGGATATTATACTTCTGGTAGATCAAGCTCCCTTAGTATCTTCCTGTAATGAATACTACCACACTTGAAGGAATTTTCTGTGCAGTTTTCTTCCAAATTTAGTAGAAGACTTATTCTCACTTGTTCATTGGGAGAATAAAAAAAAGATGAATTTCTTACTGTTTGAATTATTCCGATCCATGAGAACTTTGGTCTCCGGAATGCCAACAACGATGAATTTGTAAGGATCATTCCCCACTTGTCAATTTACACTTGAGGACGACGTGGGATTTGATGATGCATCCGCTGGACCCAAAAGAATTTCGATGCGCTAGAATCACGCCATCTTTGGTCCTATGTCAAGGAATAGCTGCTTGGGCCCATCGTGGCCTCAGTGGAAGTATATAGGCCACGCTGACTTAACGAACTACACGACAAAAAGTGAAAGTCATTCCAAAAATCTCCCTAGGGAGCCTTTGGAGCAGTGATTTGATATGTTTTTGCACATTTTAGTCATCAGTACGGCGTGGTATCCAACTGTATGGGTCCATACCCTTGAGAGAATCAAAATTCATTTCATAAATTTCATTTCAGGTACCAAACTACATAGCAACATTATTATCAGTAATTCAACTATCACTGTTTGTCATCTACCCTCGACGGCCAACATTTATTGAGATGGAGGATCCTCTTTATACTGTAAATAAGCGAATTAATCAAGACATGTAAATAACATTGAAAATAAAGTATTACTATCAATAATGAGGCAATGTGGAAGCCTCAGAAGCCCTAGGAATTCGTGTTGGAAAATGAACTGCTGCATCGCTCGGAAAAATGGTACCTAATAGTTTCCTGACTTCGAGAAGTAGTTTGGAAGATCCTGGGGAAATAACATAATTGATTGCATAGAGAGTATACTTTCCAGAAGGTTCGAAATCTGAAGCCTAGAAGATGTCTTTTGGCGTTGATCGAACCCATTTCCAGGGTGCGAAAATGCACTCGACGATCATTCAGAATCGTGGTGGTGTTGAAAGCGTGATCCATTCAATGAGATGACTTTCATGAGTAGGACAGCTATATGCTATCGAGTCTATATACAGTATATAATTGAGTGCAGGCTTACAATTGGACATGCGCGTTCCAAGATTTGATCCAGGGACCATGCATGTGGAAGTGCGCCACTTGGCACTATGCCACAGTAGTCGAACACAAGCACTGACGTAGGCTTCATTTCAGTGTGTGTGACACCCATAGTCAACCCTGGCAGAGGAATATCCTCATATTAAGTGAATCACAGAGTATGTTGTTACATTTCCGAATTCACATCCTGTTCAACTCCTTCCCCAGATGGGGAGATTTTGCAAACTCCGAGATGCGTGCTCACTTTGATTGTACCGTGAACTGTAACAGTTCCTCTAATGTAGGAAAAGTCGGTGTTGGGCATTGACAAGCTTTTTTTTATCTACAACATCTGAGAGCTGTTTGATCAGCTGAATTGCGTAGCTGAAAAAGAAAATGTAACGAGACTCATATGAGGGGTTTTTTATCCCACAGGAACCGCCAGAACGGCCATTTTTCTTGGATAATTTTGACCAAACAGGCCATTTCCTAATGGTTGAAGGCATTCGGCAAACGAGGGTCGAAATGTACCATCATCAGAAAGCTATTCAATTCAATTTAAAGAGGTTGATACCACACTCTGAAGTGGTACAGTTTTCCAGCATGATTTTCGAAGTAAGTGAGTCGACGTTACCCTTTTTCAGAGTAGTTTCACTAACTTCGGAGCAAAGTATCGGTTTATAACATCGCTTTCCAAAATCTTATGGGTTTACTCCCGAAATTGCATTTGAGAAAGGAGATAGGGATTTACCTCTGGAGGCCTTTAGAAATTTCGGAGTGTCGGACAGAGTATGATCGTCGGGCTCGACATCATCTGACTCTGCAGCTCGGAGCTTGGTTAGCTACTTTATGAGGCGTAATCATATCTCCGAGGGTTCCGCACTCTATTCGCAATTCATGTGCAGTTACCCATGGGGAAGAAGAAGAATACCCAAAGCAGTAAAACACGAACACAGCATAAACTGCAAACGTGGCTATGCAAGAAATGAGGGCTTTCGTAGATCCAGTCGAAGTCGTCGCTTGCGAAGTCATCGTATCGTCGTGCGACTGCTCTGGAACCTCCCAATACACATGGGCTTGTCGAATGTATGCGATATTAAGGCATGGAACACCACTGAACCCTTGCAATTAAGAGAAGCTAGAAGTGGGAGGACATCGTCCAGCGAAGGTGAAGCTAAGGACAATTCATTCCCACGAAAATATGTCTGGAACTCTCGATTTCCGCCGATGGCCATTCATTCGAAAAAGGCCTCTTGTCATGCATCTAAAAAAGGAACTGGATCGGCATGATTACTCGTTCATATAATCTATGAGAACTTCCTCCCAGAAGCGGAAATTGTGAGGAAAGAGGGCGTAACTGGTTGAATCACAAGCAAATTCTGGAATCGTGGACCGATTTCTGATGCTGTTCAGTATTGAAAATTGAGGCTACTATGTAGATCTGAGCTATGGGATGGAACAGAACCTGCCTGGTGAAAGACAAGGACACAACCATTCCCAACTCAAATCGTTACGGGATGTGGAATGCTCCAATATATAAGAGAAATGGGAAAGACCTTGTAAAACAGATTTTTCGAAATATATTTGTTTTGAGGGCAGAGCACAGCAAAATGTTTCGACAGTCATGTAAATAATCGACGTCAGTGAGTGCCAGCTTTCCATATAAAAGCAGAGCGGACCCCAGGTGAAGCATGTTCTCATTTCAACAGCTCTTCATCTCCTTTTATAGCGCTCCGCTTTTATCCACTCAATACACTGAACTGAAGGCGCATTTTAAGAAATATGCTTCACTTTTCATCAAAACATGGTGTCTTCGATTCCTTTCGACGAAACTCTCACATCCATCTATACTGATGTCATACTCAGCAATTTAGAAATTACGCAAAAGATACTGGTTCGTCAGAAACTGCCGGCACGAGAACGTTCAAATGTTTCATTAGACAGTGGTCGCATTCAAAGTACATGGCGGAATCAGTTTGGAGAAGATCCTCTTTGTTCAGGATGCAGCTACTACTGTTCATCTTGCTCGCAGCTGTATCTGCTATTCGAGCACACGAGCCGCTGGAGGACATCAGAGATGAAGTGATCATGACTTTGCAGGAATCACCGGAGACAAAGAAATCACTGGAAGAGAGAATCAAGGTTGATCACTTGGCTTAATAGTCCTACGTCTACATCTGTCCCATAATGTCGTCTACTTGCCTTGGTTCTGTCCAAACTCGGAGCTCCTGATATGAACAGTGATTTCAGCAAGAGCCGAAAATCGATTTCGTTCAAGTTAAGCCCATTGGAGACGACATAAACGAAATCAACGAGAACTGGCAAATTGATGAAAACCTCTTCCAGGGCGACTTAGCCCTAACACCGTGAGTTCTTCTGGTAGGAAAGTTGTTGAATAGTTGAAAGAAACAGATATGCTTGAAGNGATGAAGAAAAAAGCCTCGTCAAGGATGTCGAGCAGGAAGTTGCAGAAATGATGAAGAGCAGTACTAAGGCAACTCATTAAATGGTTCGGTCATTCGGTTCTTCTGTCACTGCACTTACGATTCCCAATAAACTTTAATCTCCACTTCGTACTCCTACTGGCGTGAATTTTTGGTGCTGCTGGCTTGATATCAGAGCGCTGGGTTCTATCTAAATCTATTCGGCTGTTTCGCCACACTTTTTTCAACATGGCAAAGGTCGGTGCCATACATTGAATAAATATTGCGGAGTTTGCTGGATAATCAGAAAATGGGTTGATTGCTAGCGAGACCTTTGCTCATCGAACATCCTCTACCGAAAGTAGTGTATCCATTCATTTTGTGAAGGGTTCCGAGGAAAGAGATAATGCACACCATATTTCAGTGCTTTATAAAGGCTCAGTTACCGATAAAAATGATTTTTGAGATTTCTCCTTGGGATGGAATTGTGATCCTCATGGTCAGAGATAGCACAAGAAATGCTGTAGGGTTGAAAAATGCTGTAGAGCAGCTTAGATAGGAGGTAATAAGGGCCCAGAAACAGTGTCGTGAACACCCCAGGCGGGTGCTGACGGCTGTGTAGTTTGCACCATTCGTACCGGGACGCACAAGTTGCACACAGGCAGCTTACTGTAGCAATGGCACGCAGTTGTGCATTTGAACAGCTCGTTCAAATACCCTCTCATGCATTTTACTACTTTGATAAAGCCTTTTATTTCCCTAAATACGCCGATTTTTGCGTATTTCTTGCGACTTTTGCACTGTTCGGACTATCACTTCCATTATTCGTCTAAAACAAGATACCCAAAATTGTCGTGATTTTGACCTTTAGGACCTTTGGTCAGGTGATCTTCCTATCTCTCTGGAACCCTAATGGTTAGAGACTACAACATCTTAGATGACTTAAAGGCACCGTTCGCGATGATTCAATAGGCGGGTGTGTCGATGACGTGTGCGCCTCTCATTCGACGCCACGTCTGACTGTCTGACGTGACATCGAATGAGAGGCGGACACGTCATCGACACACCCGCCCTTTGAATCATCGCGAACGGTGCCTTTAAGAGATTATGGAAGGCATGGCAGGCCTTCTCGCTCACCTTGGAGCTTGTAATTCAGTACTTTGAAGGAGGAAATGTTGGGAGTGTTGAAAAGCACGAACTACTTCCCATTATGAATACTCGGCGGAAATCTCAGACCGCTAAGGTAATGTGAACCGATGATTTCAAGGATTATATGAGGCATTAACGACGAGAAGTGCTTGGACGAGATTTCAATCGTGTTGGTGACAATGAATATACTTACCACGTTAAAGCACCAGTTTGCACTGTGCCACTCGGTCGCTCTCCCCCTCTCTCTTCTAAAATGCCTGTCTAGAGGGTCGTTTTACACTTCCGTTGCTGGAAGTCCTGTCGACAGTCGACAGTGTTCAGCATATGAGCCTTTTTAGGCGTATTACACGCTATCAGGAACGGGAACGCTTAAACCAAGGAATAGAAGCTGAGGTGAACCAGCATGTCATGCGATTTCGTGATGAGCATTGGAGCTACCTTGCGAAAGCCCTGAACGATAGGAATCCCATGCCTCGTGTATCTCAAGGGGGACGATCCAGTGGACTGCTCTGGCTCACAAAGGAGACGAATGGGATATGGAGACATTATTAGCGCCTGCTCAAGGAAATTGTCGCTTAAAAAATCGATAGGTGATACAGGTGACTGCGGCCTGTCTGAGCCAATCCTACAAATGCATCTAACGCTTTTCCGAATCCAGGGATCAGTTCCAGTAAGAAAACACTGCACGTATCCAGACTCCCAAACAGTTTTCACAAAACACAAGTGGTCGTCTTCGAAACTAACTCATCGTATCATCAAAGATACCTTGTGGCTGCTGCTGAAGTCATGAATCGCAGAATTTTTGTGAGCTTAGACTAGAATAATCTTCGCTGAATTGTTTATCAACTGCAGCTGATCTAATCAAGTCAAGACCTTCCTTGTTTTCATTATCGTAGGATCTTCGGCAGTCACGTTTATAGCGTCTAGGAGGTTACGTTTGGCCCATTGCCAGTAAGGTCCCTATCGCTGTGACTTCACATGGTGATTTCTTTATTTTCGCTATGGAATACTGAAATATGATCTATGGCATCAGGTTTCTTAATACCTGAGGAAACCTAACTAAATGAAACGTTATCTTTTTAAGAGGGAGAGCTGAACTTCTCAGTTTAGAATAGTCAGGAATACAGCTATTTATGAACAAGTAGGGTCTGGGTCGTACAAGAGGTAGAGCCAATGCTCTTATTGATGTCGAGGCGATTGGCAAACGGAAACGGGGGTGGGGCAGTGAAGGGTTGTTGAGCTGGGTGCGAAAAAGACCCCTGTTTCCCTGTCGTATTGGCTCCTAGACCTGTGCGATGTCACCGTGACCGTAGCCACGTATAATACCTGAAATTGGTATTTGCTCTTTCAAAAAGTTGCTGGGTATTGTGTTTTTAGAAGAGAAAATGTGACGTGGAAATACTATGAAGTAACATTCTAATGGGTTGAGGTAAGACCAGGTTCTGAATTCAGGCTAGCAGTATCCGCAAATACAGTAAGAACACAAAACAACGAATAAAGTTCATTGAGAATTCTAAACCGCTAAGTGACACAAATAATTGTGTTCTTAAGGCGAGTAGCGTGGTGGGAGGAGTTGAATTCTCAATGACAGAAGGACCACTCAATGTGCTGCTTCAGTAGTGCTCATCATCATTTCTGCAACTTCCTGCTCGACATCCTTGACGAGGCCTTCTTCTTCATCTCTTCAAACATGTCTATCTCTTTCAACTGTTCTATAACATTCCTATCAGAAGAACTCACGGTGTTAGGGCCAAGTCGCCCTGGAACAACTTTGAATCAATTTGCCAGTTCTCGTTGATTTCGTTTATGTCGTCTCCAATCGGCTTAACTTGGACGAAATCGATTTTCGGCTCTTCCTGAAATCCCAGTTCATGTTTGGAGCTCCGAGTGTGAGTGGAACCAAGGGAAGTAGACGACACTATGGGACAGATGTAGTCGTAGGACTATTAAGCTGAGTGATAAACCTTGATTCTCTCTTCGAGTGATTTCTTCGTCTCAGGTGATTCCTGCAAGGTCATGATCACTTCATCCTTGATGTCCTCTAGCGTCTCGTGTCCTCGAACGACGGATACTGCGACTGCGAACAAGGTGAACAGTAGTAGCTTCATCCTGAACAAAGAGGAACCGATGTTGAGGGTGGATGTGAGGGTCGCACCAAAATGACTACGATACCATCATTCCTTTCGAGTAACCCTAAGTTTACCATACTGGAGAAGTGAATGCTATAACAGGGTAGGTAAATGTAAAAGCGGCTGAAATGAGATCATGCTTCGCCTGAAGTCTGCTGTCCTTTTATATGGAAACTGTGACATTCACTGACGTCGATTGTTTACATGACTTATGAAACAGTGTGCTGTACTCTTCCCTCAAAACAAACATACTGTAACAGAACTAACAAATATACTGTAAAAA